TCCCCTCCTCTCTCTCTCTCTCTCTCTCTCTCTCTCTCTCTCTCTCTCTCTCTTTCTCTCTTTCTTTCTCTCTTTCTTCCCTTTGCTCTTTCGCGGGGACACGAGAGAGCGCCGTTGATGGGGTGTACCGAGAGAGAGTACGGCAGGGACCGTAACGGGCCGGATTCAGGCTCTCTTCCTGTCTTAGTGGTGTGGCGTTACCATGGTAACAGACTAAGCCGCTTAACACCCCCTCCCCAGTGGCCCTCTCTGCCTCCGCTCGTCTCTCTTTCTCTCCCTGCCGCAGCCTCCTCTATTCCAAGCCCGACGGAATCCTCGTGGCACCGACACACGGAGTCAACCCACCCTCGCCGCGGTGATACTCGTGGCAGAGCGGGTGGTAGTAAATGTCGTTCTCCCCTCTCCTCGCCCCCTCTCCTCGACCCTCGCTCCCCGCTCCCCGCTTCGCAACCGGGCCATGTTTTCGCACCCTCGTCGGTAACGAGCGGGCGAGAAGTCCCTCGACTCGACCGGGGAGGATATCTCTCGTCTGTCATCGACGACGATCACTTCTTCGTGAAGACGTATATCCGTGCGGAAAGGAGGAGGAGGAGGAGGAGGAGGAAGAGGAGGAGGAGAAGAACGACGATTAGCGTGATAGAGTGTCGTAAAGGATAGTAGAGAGAGGGGAGTGGGAGAACGGAAGGAGAGGAGATAAGTCGGCGATAGCCCTGGTCGTGTGAGAAACGGGAGGAACCTGCGGTCGGAAGTTTCGGGCGACACTCCGAAGTGCATGAGCGCGCGCGGAGTCTGTCCGGACGCGACATCTCGCGGTTTATTCAAATGAGAATAGGGGGTGGGCGGCGTTGTGGCGGCGTGGCGCGGAGGATGACGAAGGGACGCCGACCGACGGGAGTCCGTGAGAACAAAGGAAGAGGGAATCGGGACGGGGGAGAGATACCGTGCCGTTAAACAAGAGCGCTTCTCGCGAGAGGCGGATAGAGCATCCCTTCTCATTTGGGAATGACGCGCGACGAACTCGTCGCGGAATTGAGACGCGGGGAAAGAACCGACGACGGATATTTTTCCCTCTGTCGTTAAAATCCAGATGCCGTGACGCGTGCGTTGTACTTTACTACGTTACCGATTGTTAACTTCACCCCTTCCTCTCCTTACCAGACGTTGACAATTGAGAGATGGTGGCGACGTTGGAGAACCGAGCGGATACCGAAACGTGAAAATCGAGCGACGTGAGCGCGCGACGGAGGTGAACAATGCGAGCGAAAAGGAATTCGATTCCGGTTTCAGGAATGGCAACGACGGAATAGAGTAGAAGGGGAGCGGGAGATGAATAGAGATGAACAATGAATGTAGTTCGAAGAAAGAGAGAGAAGATAGAGGAGGGGTGAAGGAAGGGCATGCAGTAACGCGAAAACGTCTGCATTCCGTTGATGAAGAATTCAATGGCGGGGTAGACACCACCCTTTCGAAAGGGAGGTGAAGACTATCGGGTATTATCTCTTTATTTTCTCGTTTTTCTCGTGGACTTTTTTCGCGCGAGGGAGGAAAGGGCGATCTTGGTCTCGGCCGGCTCCCTTCGCGAAGACAAAGGGCCGTCCGCATGCCGACGTACGTCGCTAATTTTGGAAAAAAGGGGGCCTGAAAGAAAAGATGGCCGCAATTCTCTTCTGTTAGTGCCGTTTCGCGATTTCTGCCCTTTTTGCGTGACTTTTATTCTCATTTCAATTAAGATTGCATCAATATCTGTCTGATAAGATTCTTCTCGGACTCTTACGATTCCAAACCGTTTCAAAGATTCTTGAATGATTCTTGAGTCAAAAAAGAAAAATTTTTTTTATTTCTTGAATGAAAATTTTTTAGTATTCGTGAGCCTTCTTTTTTTGGAAATCGGACAGTTTAAAGAGTTTTAAGAGTTTTGAATAACATTTTAGGACTGAATTATTAGAATTCAAATTAATTTTTATTAAAATAATGATAATTTTTGTACTGAACATAATAAAGTTGGAACCACATATTTCCGAATTTCTGCTTTTTAATTCAATTAATCGTCAAAATTGCTTCTGAAATGTATAAAAAATTCCAAAACACATTGAAAGAGCCGCAGTTATAATTATTTAAAATTTTTAAAAATAATGTTGTGCAGTTACGCTTTCTTATTTATAAAATGGTTTTAATTGACCCTGTTGAACTTAAACCTGTCTTATTCAACCTGCGGAACTGATGTTGACATATCAATGCTTAATACAATAGCACAGCATTGCAATTTTATATGCAGTATTATATTTATATGCATATATATGCACATATATACACCATGTCGCACTTATATACAATGCAGTGGAACCTAGAAAACAATGTCATGAAAATGCAATATATTTGAGAGCTTTATCACATCGATGTCAAGGATGTCGTATAATGACCATCATACTATTTAATTAAACTGCGAAGTAGCGCGTGGAATTTTTTAACATAATGAAAGATACAAGTTATGAAATATTTCTGCATGCGTTAATTGAAAAATGTTCTAATTAATAATACGAGTTGAATAACGCGAAATTGTTTCTGTAAATTTGTTTCTCTGGCGGTATGTATTATACTCATCGTACATGTCCGAGTAATGCAATCTTATTCTTCCCTTTGATGATCATTATTTTTTTTTTTTTTTTTGTTTTTTTTTTTTTTCTTTTTACTAGTTACCTTGTAGCGTTTGTCTTTCGGTTTCTACGTCTTTCTTCCAAGGATCAGCTCGAATTGCGGCTCAAGTTAAAGCTCAAATTAAAGCTCAAATTAAATTGCAGCTTAATGTCCCCTTCGCTCGTCGCGCGAGCGCGATAAAAGCACTGTTTCGCCTCGTTCATTATTACGCGCTTATTTTACCGAAGCGTTAAATCGATCGATTTATAATTATGTTGGAATTAAAATTATGTCTACTTTGTCGATTATCCAGCTCGTTTTACCAACCGCGATTAATTGTCGCCGTCGGTTTGTCTAATTAACGCATGCCGGCTCGCGCGCAGGCGGCCCGACGATATTTTATTACCGGTTCGCTCGGCGCTCTTCGCCGTAAATTCTAATTATTGTCGCCATTACGGCGGCCTAACGCGCATCGCGTTTTATCATTCGTCACTTCCCGCCGTAAAATCAGAAATTCGAGTAAGGAAGTCGAAGACTTTTGACATTCGCATGGACTTTGTTAACGTTATAATCGCTAGGTTTACTTGACATGGTTGATCTCTATAACGAAAAAGTTAGAAACCGCTAATTAATTATCATTGCATTAGTTCTATGCGAGCGAACTTTAAAGAGCTAAGAAATAAGACATTGGCGGCTATATCGGATAATTAATCGACTCTTCGGAAATGTGAACGTTCGTAAATTCGGTGTCTCGAGTTGATCGATCGAGGAGATATCCCTTGGGCCGGTGCGTCCGGCTTTGCGTATATACACGCTCGTTGATACTTATTTCCTTTTGTTGTCTAACTCCCTCGAAGACCGCCTCGCAATTAATCTCCCACGAAGTCGATCATGCTTAGCCGACCTCCTCGGCGGGTCACGTCAACACGAGCGCGACCTCTGATCCCTCTGAGGAGAATTATGAGGCACGCTCGTTACCGAGCAGGAGAGAGAAAGAGAGAGAGAGAGAGAGAGGGAGAGAATGCACGTGTGCGTGGAGACGACGGGGTCGCTCGTTAATCTTCACCCGATAACGCCTCTTTCACGACGAGCGTACGAAATGTATGCGTTTATCAAAAGTTTTGTTAGGGCGAGACCCATCGTACGTGAGAGTCTCGCGCAACATTCACGGATAGCTCCGTACGAGGCGGTTAATCGAATCTCCGCCCGGAATAATTATCCGTGTGACATATGTATCCCCCGGAGTGACACGCGCATCCTTCGAACCGTCACGGACGGAGATTGATTCGGCAAATCGCTGCGAAAATCCGGCCGCTGTATTTCAACGGAATTTACGTCGCGATTACGTCGGACGCGCGCGCGCGACATTTATACGCGTCAAAAGCGACCGGCCGTGCCATGTCGACGAGTCTCTTCCCCCTCCCCCTCTCCCCGACCGTCAAGAGGTCAAGACTTACACCCAAATGGAATCCCTGGATGGAGTTAAGTTATGCGCGAGTGTAAATTTCACACGGACCCGGACATTGACCTTTGCCGATCTCTTTCAGGTCTACAGCCGACCAGCACCAAAGCTCAGCCGACCTCGATCGGCAAGTCCCACCGACCCAGTTCCGGCGTACTACCTCAGGGTCACACCCCGGGACCTGGACCGGGCGGGCAGCAGAATAGCAGAAGCTTCGCCGCCGCCCTTAGGAACCTGGCCAAGCAGGCGGGCCCGGCACCTCAGGAAGAGGAACCTCGTGCTAGCCCGAAGAACCGGGCGCCGCCGCCCTTGGTCAGAGGTCCTTCTCCCGCTAAGGTGAGTAATTGCACCGGCCGCGTCTATGCCTTGTTCCTCTCCCCCCGCCGGTACAGAAGTGCATCCGTCTCGAAACACGAACAAAGGTACCCTCGACCTCAGACTCGGTGGTCCCCCATGATCGGAATAATAAGCGGGGCGCTTAGGTACATAGCGGGCGCGGCTGAGAAAAATCGTTGACATCAGTCGTCTTGGCTCCTTCTTCTTTACGACATGGACGACGCGTTTCTTTTTTTCCTTTTCTCTTTTTTTTTTCTTTTTTTTTTTTTCTTTTTTCTTTTTTTCCCCTTCGTACGGTTAGGTCAACGGAGGAATATCATAAATGGATGTGGAAGAACACGAGCTAGAGGAGGGTGCATATATTTACGTCCTCTTCGGTACCTTTTCGATTTGCTTGTGCTGATGATGCGATTTATTTCACGACATTATCGAGAGAGACATCGCGTTCGTGATGCAGGCAGAAAATTTTTAAAGCTACGCGTCACGTGTGTTCCAATGGGAAGGAAAGACGCGCGAGTACGACAAAATATTTATTTTTTATCAATGTAAGATGAGCATTACCTCGGCAGAAATTTAATTCGCGACTTAGTGACCTGAAAATTGTTAATGTCAGAGATTAAGAGGTTTTAATGAATGGTTTCTCATCCAATTTCTACGACGGAAAGTCTATAACCGGGAGAAAGCGTGCGAATTCTGGGACACATCTCGCGATATCGCGGGATTCCATTCGAGCTGTCTCGAGGAATAATTGCTACCGGGAATTAATGTCTCATCATCAAAGGCGAAAGTGTCGAAGCGAGATAATATTACTAATATTACTACCGCCTGCCGCCTGAAACGACACGCGGTAGGAAAAGCGAATGATTTCGGAGGCACGCGAATGAAATTGGCTTCGCAAGATTGCGGGGTGTCAAAGGCTCAGAAATAAATCGAAAATGCGGGCAATCTCGGCAATAACGAAATGAAAAACGCGGTTACTCTGGCGGAAAGAGAATAAGATAGCTTCAATTCCCGATAATCGGGGAGATCAAAGATCCTGTTCTTACGATTTCCTTTTCCTCGCCTTGTATATCGCCTTCGCGAGCTATTGCATTGCAAATGCGAGACTTTTCCGAACTCTGGTTCTCGCTGACAATCCGGGTTAAGTAGTCCGGACCGGTGAATTGTTTCCTTTTCTTTCCAGCTCGATCTTATTTATGATATACACAGAAAAACTTGACCTTTTTCGTATATCCGCGTCATCAGCAGAAGTGGGTTTCTTTCTGATAAACGGAAATAAGGTTTTGAACATAATCAAACGAATCGATATCGCAATGTATAATGAATGTAGACGTAGAGCCCGTCGAGCCGATCTACCTAACGTTAGTTAACATTTATATTTTCGATAATAGTGAATTCTTCGCTTCGTCTGAGTTGAGTTCGCTGAGTTGACCGGAGGTACGCGCTATTCCTACCAATTTCCATGGCAAAATCATTCGAGCGGCAACTCATTGCCGGTTCGGTGCACGACTTCGTTACAACGCCCGGCAATAAACTGCGAGACCGCTCGTAACGTCTAAGTGGCGGAAGAGACTATAAGCTGAAGAAAATTTCAGGCAATTTGCGTCTTCGCCCAGCGCTTTCCAAGAAATCACCTTGAAAATATCATTAACTCTTTGAATTGGAACCGTGCCTCGATGCTCTAGATCGCGAAATTTTTTCCCACGAATTTTTCTAGTCGCGCAGTCATCTTTTTTTCAAGTTGGACTTTGGATCGATAATACATCTAGCATTTCGGAGACAAGGCACGAATTATTATCGGATATATCATCAAGGAAATGACGCCATCGATTAATGAATGTCATTAAATTTACTTATTTCAGGAGCGATCGACGCACGAACGGAGACCCGAAGAGATTCCCTCCTTGTACACAACTGCCAGACCCGTTGAAACCAGCAAACACAGCGTAACTGCCGCGGCTACCGAATTGCTGGCCCGTTCCGGTTTTCAACCGTATCGGCCCGAGCACCATCCGGCCCATCCACCGGCGTTCGCCTTGGATCCCGCGACCTACAGCGCCTATCATCCCGGTCTCTATCCACCACCGCACCTGCCGCATTATAGGTAAGCGAAAGTATTGCACTTTACGATGCCTCAGTCAAAATTGGAAGGGAAGGACTTCTCACGCTGGAAAATTTTATGTTATCCTACCGTCAACGTTTCCGAAGCCTTCTCCTCGATAAGCGCTAGTCAAAGTGTCTTAGCTAATTTCCCGTGTCTTCTTATCGCAGGTTAGAGGAACAGTTGTACTTGGAGCGATGCGGAATGATAAGACCACCGTTATTTCCCGGACTGCCGTCGTATCCTCTGTACGGACTGAGATACAGTCCCGACATGCTTCCTCCGCCGCCCGCCTCTCTGGGCCTCATGTCTCCTGTGATGCACGAACGGTAAGCAAAAGGATTGAGATGAGAGAGGGGAGGGAGAAGGGGGAAGGGTGGGGGGGGGAGAGAAAGAGAGATCTTTGAGCGAACGGCCGGGAATGCCGAACTTCTTCATTAATATCGCGGCACGATTTTTCTTTTTTCAGACTGAAGCTGGAGGAGGAGCATAGACTACGACAAGCACGGGAGCAGGCTGCATTGCGGGAGGAGGAGGAAAGGAGAAGAGCAGCGAGAAATTCTGCTCCCGCTGCCCCGGTACCCGCGCCTGCACCTGCATCCGCTGATACTGCAGGTGAGCGAGTCGCTCCACCCCCCACTGCCTTTACAATTAAAAAAAAAAAATAATAATAAAAAAAAGCGTCGATCGAAGCGCGATCGTGATTCGTCTGCGATCGCTCGTTAAGGCGCGCGAGCTCGTTCTATCTCTCCGTTTTCTTCTCTTCTCTTTCTTCTGCTGCGAGATTTTCTGCGGCGGCATCATCGTAATACCGCGCGAATTGTCATCATCGCGTATTTCTTTTATTCGACAATATAATTAGCATTTTCTTAAAGCGATGCCGCAATATTTGCATATGCGTTTGCCACGATTTGTGGCTCCACGCAAATTGTCTGGTTTAATTTTAGCCTCCCTTCCCCTCTCCCCCCAGACCGAATTTGCCAAGCGAGATCGTATTCTCAACAGCGATCGTCGTTCACTCGGCGTTCGGATGACCTGTATTGCGAGCCAAAGTTCTTCTGTAGATAGACGGACTGGCGACGCGAGCGAGGAGAAGTCGTTGTAGAAATATGACTGTGAGCCGGTGAGGAAAAAAAAGAAAAAAAGCAAACAGAACAAACAACATAACTACGCTTCTAATTTTAATCTAGATATAATGAGAGTTATAGTCATAGTTATACTCGTTTCTTACGCAGATAGCGTTGATATCTTTTAAGTAAGACATGCGATTTGGTGTCCGAGCTGAATCTAAAGATGGATAAGGTGAACGAAGGAAGTCGAGTAGCGATTGATTTTTTTAAATCGTTTATTCCTGTCAGGCATGTCCAATTATAAGACGATATACTAAAAAAGAAGTTTAAAATAAACTTGATTCGCTTTTCTTTCGTTGTGTTTGTTCACCCAGTATACACCCATCTTAATATAACATTGTCCTTCGGCTCGGTACACACCAAATTGTCAAAAGTGGGCTTAGTGGCAAAAAGAAATATCTCATTCTAGTTTTCTGAAATATAAATAAATTATAAACGAATTTAATTTTCCCGAGACCCGATTTAGTTGTTTTCATTTATCTATTCACGGACCGAAGTCAGACTTATTCTTCTGCTGTCCCCTTTTATTAATGTCATATTGATAGTAAGTCGGCCTTCGGTCGGCCATTCCACCTGTTATGTACATGACGTTTTTGCATACGCGTTTTAAATCATTTTTTCAAATAGTATTCGAATGTAAAAATATTTACTGTACGACGGCAGATTGATTATATGATTAATGATTTTTGTAGTTAATAATAGCGAAACTTAAACATAAGAGTGCACGCCTTCCAAAGGAAAGGGCTACTTTCGTTCAACTGCAATGTTGAATTTCGAGATAAATAATTAGTAATGAGGAATTATGTCCCCCATTAATAAATACCATTAGCAGGAAATTTATTAAATTGAGAGATGACTACTGTTATATATGATAAATGATATATTTTAGAGTATTTTTCTTAATATCGTTTTATTTTTTTTTTATATAGTATTATTATTAAGGTACGTAAGTAAAATTGTATGTTTATTGATATTCTATTGATTTGAGCATTCGTTTATTTGTTAGTAGTTGTTTTATTAGACGATATAAATTGTACATTTTTTTATTAATCAGGATTGTTAAACATGAAGAACATGTTTAATAAATAGAAGAATAGATTATTTGTTACATATATATTCGTTATGATGAATTTGTAGCTGGATATTTATAATTTCCAAGGCGTGAATATAGGTGTGCAAATATTAGACAATTTTGAATTAATGTTGTGCTGAATTTGTAATGTTATGCTCGAAATTGATAAATGTTGATATTTATGCTTATTGCCTTTCTACTTCTCATTTCGTCTCTACAAAATTTGATTTCAGGGATGAGACTAGTCTTAAGATCGTTAAGTCGAAATTTTTAGACTAATCTCGTCCCTTATCACTTTATTTTAGAACAAATTATTTTTAATTATACATGTGAATATATATAATAATATGTGTATAAGACTAAAGTTTTAGATATATTGTACACATATACATATACGTGTCAAAACAATAATAATCTCAGATCAGTTTCGTCTGAGATCAATCACCGCATGTTAGGCCACCAAAAAAGGTCAGCTACGAAGTAAGAAAAAGTAAGAAAAACAATATGCATAAATACTATCATGTGCCAATTCTATTAAAGCTATAAATTCTGGACCACACTAATTTAAAGAAAGAACTAGTAATTTCTTGATGCCAAGTGTTCTTTCATCAGGCGCAATGCACTCTTGCGTTAGTTCCCGCAACTGTTTTAGAAATTTTGCAATTAACCAATTAATGTCAACATAGTTTCCCTTAATTGTATAGTAAACATGTTGCTCCTCATACTGACTGAATCAACCGATGTATATAAACTTTACCATACATGTTCTTTTGTCAAAATTACACCATTTTTATATATAATTTATTATGTAAACATGTATATTTGGACTATAAATGAAAATAAAACTTGCAGAAAAATATGATTGCAATTCTAGTTGACTTGGAATTCTTGAATCCCTCGAATCATTTTCTGAAACAGTTTTGGGGAAGATTCCGTAATTCATAGTCCGATTATTTTAATGTCTATTTTACTGCAATTATTAAAAAAAAATACGCTCACTAGAATTAATACTAAGAGCAACGATGATAGCGATTACCCCCATAGTTTAGAGAAAAACAATTGGTTTACTTTTCTTTTCTTTTTTTTTTTAATATTTTGTTTAATTTTATTGTGAAAATATATGACAGTAATCATCCCCAATACTTCGATGCGAATATATTTAAGATTCTTTTTATAGCGCTGGAATAATAAAGCGAAACGAAAGGTAAGTTGGAATAGATAATTACGAATTATATTCGTAAAATATTCGTAAAGTATTTTTATATTGCATACTATCATCGTGTATTGATTGCGCAAGCGTTTTTAATGCGATCATCTTTTAATGCGTAGTGATCTACAATAAATTTATTGCGACCATTAATTGGAAATATTAAAAGGCGATATAATCTCGTTACTCACTGTTGTAAATCGCAGCATAACGTTATATTATGAAAGATATAAAATCAAGACAATAAAATAATTGCGGATATTTTCTTAACGCTTCTCCTCGCGCGAGATATGTTGAAAGTATTAAGAATTCTGGCTTATTCTATACGAGATGGTGAAATCTGGCTATAGTGATATGTATTTTTTTTTTTATGTTAAAATTGCTTTTTAAGCAATTTTTGCTTGGGTTTGTTTTAAACTTTTATTTTGTAAATGATATGTAAGAGAGCTTACATATAAAACATGTTTAAGAGTAACAAAAAAGAAAAATACAACGTATCACCACGTATGGCCAAGATTTCTTTCATTGTAGAGTGGAAGATCACCAAGCACTGTGTTCGGGATTTGTTTCAGCTAGGAAGCCGACCATAGCGGCTCAGATGCATAGCGACCGGGACCGAGAACGCGACAGCAGAGAACGACAGAGCGGCGGCGGTGGTAGCAGCACTGGTGCCAACACCAGCAATACCGGTAATACCGGTGGAAGCAACACCAGCAATGCCGGTAATTCCAGCAGCAACACGAGCGGACCCACCGTCACCATCGGTACCAATCATCATCAATCTCGAAAAGAAGAGCAACAGTCCTCCGCTCCGTCAGCTGCACCACCGCCACCACCCTCCGACCCAACAACGGCAGCAGCAGCAGCAGCGGCAGCCACCATCTACCATCCTCGTCTGCCACCCTTCCCCAGTCCAGCGGCACCTATCGGACCGTCCCTGGGCTCTACTTCTATATGCTCTGCCAACTCTGCGCCCATTCCACCCCCTTTGGGTTCCACTTTGCCTCCTCTGAACCTTGGGCCGCCACCGTCGGCGGCTATAAGCTCGGCGCCGATCGGTCCACCGATACCATCCATCCCATCCTTGACGCCGGGTGTGATAGGACCACCGCCGCCACCCCCGCTATCTTTAGGCATGTCTCTTCCGCCTATCATTTCTATTCCCTCCCTTCACTTGCCCCCCGTGCCGTCGAGTACCATTCATTCTAGTCAGCACACAGCCACGATAATGAGCAGCGCGACTACCACGGTCACCAGTTCCATTTACCACCAGCAGCAACAACAGCATCAACAACTCCCGTCGCAACAACAACAGCAGCAGCAGCAGCATCATCATCAACAACCGCGCGCCAATAGCACAAGCGGTACGACGACTACGAGTTCTCTACCCGGCACGATGACTACGCATGCGACGCCGATACCACCGAGTAGTACTTCGTCGACATTGAACACTATAAATCACATGGCGCATAAATCTCCGCCGTTGTCCCATGGCGTTCACGTGTCCAGAAGCAAGGAACCGATGACAGTCACGACAACAGCGGGAACGTTGCCTACGACGGCGACCATGACTACAACAACGAGCACTACGACGACGTCGCAACCGGCTTTTGTAAGGCCTTTCGAAGATTCGTTCCGTTCCTCTTCGACGAAATCCCAGCAGAGACAACCAATAATGAATAGTCACAATCACAGCATAGT